AGAGAGAGAGAGAAGGGAGAGAGAGAGAGAAGGGAGAAGAGAGGGAGAGAAGGGGGGAGAGGGAGGGAGGAGGAGGGAGAGAGGGTATGTTCATTTTTGCAAGTGAAGCATACCTAATGATATTCCCATAGACAGACAGACAGGCAGACGGAGAGAGGGACAGACAGGACACATTTGCGCGTTTGAAATCATTCATACCCCCAAATCCAGGACGCAGCCTGTTGTCATAACCATCGAGCAAACTGTCCAGGATGCGGGTGAAATTTTCTGGGCACAATTTCTCCTCCTTTTGGTTCTGTCCTGGGGACTCGTTTAAACTGCAAGCGCATAAAACGGGGGCGGAGGAGATTATTTTAAGAAATGCTCAGAGAACAGGTGGAAACAGGTCTTCTAGGGAAAGAGTCGCTTGCCCCTAAGCTAAGGGAGGCAGGGCCAGGGGTCTGGGAAGACAGACCCGGTCAGGAAAAGCGCACCCCGCGCACACGCACCCCGCTACCCACACGCTCCTCGCACCCCGCTCCCCCTGTGGTCTCCGCGTCTACGCGGTCCCAGCAGAGCCCTCCTCGGGGCCCCTGATCTTACATCTGAGGCGAGAAGGTCTGGTTCGCCCAGGAAGCGGCGGGTGGTCGAAGGGGGCTGGGAGCTGCCACTTCTCCACGTTCCTCCTTCCCCCCGCCCACAGTACCCCAAAAAACTCACCAAGTCGCCAGGCACAGGAAGCGCAGGAGGGCGAAACTGAGCCCGGAGGACAGCGCGATCGCGGGTACCTTCTTGGCAGAAACCATCTTTGCAACATGCCATACTTTAAGCCTGTTCACGTTTCCAGGCTCTCGAGATGCCCTGGGCAGGGAGCGAGGGGAGGACAGAGCGGCCCCGCGGCGTGCGCACACTCGCACTCGCCCGCGCGCAGCAGCCCGAGCCGCGGTGGGCGTGTGTGTGCGCGGGGCCGGGGAGGCGGGACCTGCTCTCCTCGCCCCCTCCGAGCTCGGCAGCGCGCGGGGTGTATGGGGAGCTATGTATACCGCGCTCACCCTTTCGTGCCCGTAACTGGGAGACTCGGGCTTCACACGTGGAGTTTGCGCCGCGAGGCTGGACCAGTTGGCTCCGACTGCGACTCGGGGTCTCGGCCCGGGGTCTGGCGCGCCACCTCCCCGTCCGCCCTCCCGGCCCCCGCCCGCCCCGAGTGGGTCCCAACCCGCAGCCGGGCTCGGCCGCCTCTTCTCCCTCCTGGGCCCCCTCCCTTCCGCTGGGATTCGGATCTAACCAATGAAGCTCCTCGCTCGTCAGGTTGTGTGAAGACCTGTTCGCACCCATTGTCAAGATGGAGGTGGAGACGGGGCGGATGACAGGGGTTGCTGGAGTGGGAGGTGGTGGTGAGGAAAGGGGTTCAAGTCTGGGCAGAAGCAACCTTTGGGACCTCCCCCCTTCTGGTGTTGGAGGAGGAGGAAGGGGAGGATGGCGAAAAACAAGAAGATTCTTCCTGATTACAGGGGTTAGTCACAGCACAGACTCCCCAAACTGGGAGGAGGTGGGCTGGAGCCTCCCCCGGTGGTCACAGCGTTTGCTAAGCTACCGGTTTTAGAGACACCCAGTTTCTTTGCTCTGCTCACCGCCCCCCCCCCCAAACATGACACCCGCGTCCCTCAGTGGTGCTGCTCCGCCCTTTTCTGGAGAGGAGGGGAGAGCTGGGGACAAGTGACCTCTGATTGAAATCACTTTCACTTGTTGGGACACTCTTCTCTTCCAGAATAGAGTTGACTGACTTTCAGAGCTTGACCATTTCAGGGAGGGGGAAAGAGTGGCTTGAAAGGAGGGGGATGGGGAGAAAGAGAGAAAATGTATGTGGGGTGCTGGGGACACACAAATTATAAATAAAAATGGAGGGGACAAGTGTTAGTTCACTCATGCCTGGAAAGGAGCGCTAAGCCCTCACAGCTGTAGCGTTTGATTGAATGAGGAGAAGTATTCCCAGTAGGCTTTTTAAAAGCGTTTATTACTGGCTGGGCTCGAGTGTCTTTCACATAAATAGTGATGCAAGTGGAAATTTTCACATGACCTAAGTCATTTCCATAAAGTTACGTCCCTGGAACCAGATGCCGAGTACTAACCTCTATTTAGAACTCTGATGGTTTGCTCAGATTTTGATGACTGCTAGACAGTATGGTAGAAAAGCCTGTTCCAGCAGAGAAGAGTTTGGGGGAGTTGTTTGTTTCCATCTGCTGATTAAAGATTTTTTCCAAGGGTGAGTCCAAAGTGCCCTTAGCGCCAGTAGGCAGAGCCACGTGCTCTCCTGACGTCCTGTGCCCTCCTTGCTTCCTTAGTGAATTTGCTGGGCTCCATCCGAATTCCGTCTTTATCGTTCTTTTCCCATAGACTGTGATCGGCACGAGGGCCTTAATTTTTGTTCACCAGTGTTTATTTTGTCTCTCGTTAGGATGCATTGGTAAGTAGTATGTCAATAAATATTTATTTAAACAATTTAAACAAATCTATGCATTGCTTGCCTCCAGCTCCATCTTATTAATTTGAATGAAATTGAAGTTCTCTCTTTTGGAAAAAGTAATTGGCATACTACTGTATCCTCCAATTATGCCGTGAAAGCATTTATCTCCATAGATTCTCTATGTAAAATCTTATAACATATTATATTATTACATTACATTATATTATTTTTCTAATCTTAATAGTTTCCCATACTTTCTAAAACTGAAACTGAACTATGCTTCTTTTCAATTGGCATTTTAAAAATGTAATATTAAAAACTAAATAAGCAAAAATAATAGTTTTGGGGAAAAGCTTTATTTTTCCATATGGTTAATGATAAATATCTCTAAAATTCAAGTTTTAAATATGCAGAACTAATCCCTTCAAATAAAAAGAACATTCCTTCTTTCAAAGTAACTACTTACAGTTATATTTCGTTAAATAATTGATGGTGTTTAAGTTTAGCTGAAGATAATACCAAAGTCATTTATATCTCATTTAATCTTATCATGCAGGCTTGTTCTCATCCTAGAAAAAGGGCTCCATACCTCACTGCTGAACGCCACAGTAGTCGTCTTTGAAATACTCCCCTGGGGAGGCTGTGCCCCAACACCAGAGCCTAGTCCATCCTTCAAAGCACTTTTGGAATTCTTATTCTGGAACAGCCGTCAGAGCTGTTGTCATATGACCCTCGATGTCCTGAATGTCATCAAAACGTCTTCCTTTCAATACTTCCCTGATCTTTGGGTAAAGAAAAATATCACTGGGGGTGCAGATCAGGTGACTGGTGGGGGCGTTCCAATGCAATGGCTTGTTTGCTGGCTAAAAACGCCCTCCTAGACAGAGCCCTGGGAGCTGGTGTGTCGTGATGGACGAGCCACACCTTTCTCATGCCCAGATTCTCAGTTAAGATTTTCCTGTGTCTCTGTCAGTTTACAATGTCCTCTGTGCTTCTCAGAGTCAGTGGATGATCTGGATGCAAAAGTGGAAGAATGTTTGCTGTGTTTTTGTCATTTCTGCTCATCACTGGCCACCCTGACCTCTCTTCATCAGTGAGGCTTTCTCTCCCCTCAGAAAAATGTTTAATCCACCTGTACAAGGCCATTTCCTTCACAGCATTATCCGCATAAACTTGGAAGAACACATCCCTGATTTCACTTCTACTCTTGCCAAATTTAACAAGAAATTTAATATTTGTTTATTGCTCTAATTCAAGCTCCGACATTATCATGACAGCACATGACTCTGCTGGACACTGCCACAAATACAGCCGTGAGACACTGCCGTACCAAAGTTAGGAGACTTAGCGAGTGGTGTGTACGGTGCGTAAGGCACAGTAACAAGTTCTCAGGCTTAAGTCTCAGAACTCACATTTTACCATCAGAATCTTAAAAAAAAATTGCTTGTCAATATCAGTATTTTAAAGTGTCTGATGTTCCAAAAATATATAATTTACTTTAAGTTAAAAATATCATTAAAATGCTATTGTTTCCCATGTAAATTAATATTAATAATGGCTCAGGGTGTTAGTAAATTCTTCTTATTGCCTATGTAGTTGTGAAGAAATAGGAGGTATTAAAATTATAGTCATTCCTTCCTTTAAAATTAAGTCTTTTTTTTTTTTTTTGCAGTTTTTGACTGGGGCCAGTTTTGAACCCACCACCTCCAATATATGGGGCTGGCGTCCTACTCCTTGAGCCACCAGTGCCACCCTAAAATTAAGTCTTTGATAACTATGTTTAGTAGACTTTGAATTGGTCCCAAGAACATTACCTTCAGCTTTTATGATATGAAGCCAGTCACATCTTATAAATTTAACATATGGTTTTACCTCTTAAATGGTGGGGTGCAAAGAACACCCTATTCCCCTACTGCTAACATTTGAGGATGGACATTTCAGAGTCCACAATGCCTCTGAACGCCCTGAAAATGACACAAAATCTTGAATTTGGTTAAGTATGTGTATTTTTCTTTGATGTTTTCATATAAAAGATGACGGTTATGACAGAATACCCAAACAAGTGGATAATTATTTACAACTAATATGAGATGAGCACTCCGTCACATTTTGCAAGCCTATCCATTGCCAGTTTTTCTATGGACTGTTGTGTAGATCTTAAGTCTCTTTTGTGTGTATTCAGCCCCATTTTTTTGTCAATTTATCCAATGTCCAACTAGCATGGTGCACAGAATATTTGATTGGTAAATGTAAATAATTTGAAAGGGTTCAACCTGTTTCTTTGTATTTCCATTATTTTTTCTGGTAAATTTTGAATGAGCTGTGCCATCGAGGAGGGTAATGATGTGAATTACTGCTTTAAATTTTGAAGACTTAGGAATATCTGTTCCATGTAGAACATTTCTGTTCCAATAATTTAGAAGCTATTAACAATTGTATGTTAATGCATTTCTCTGTCCTGTGTATTTAGGATGAGGGAGAAGAATTGATTTTATGCTCATTAGTTACACCTTTTAAAATTTGTATTAAAACGACGTTTCCACTGAAATGTTACCTTTAGGCCAGCCCGTCATCATTGTCTGGTTTTAGATTTTTATCTCCATTCCTTTTTATAGTATGTAAATAAGGTTGATGATATTTTAATGTACACATATATATTGAAATGATTATTACAGTCAAACGAATATATCCATCACCTAGTAGTTATCTTTTTTAGGGTACAGTAAAAGCACCCAAAATTATTCTCTTAACAAATACATGTTCAGAACACCACAATATCACTAACTATAGTCTTCCTGCTGCTGTACATCAGATCTCTAAACTTATTCATTGTACGTAACTGCAAGTTTGTACGGTTTCTACAGCTCCCCCTTTCCTTGTCCCCATTCTCTACTGTTAACCAGTATTCCTTCCTCTGTTTCCCTATATGTGACTTATTCTGATTCAAAAATAAGTGAGCTCATTTAGATTTGTCTTTCTGTGTCTGGCATTTCATGTACAGGTGTCCTCCGGGCTCATCCATGTTGCTGCAACAAGCAGCAACTCCTCCTTTTATAAAGCTTAATTTATATCTTTACCCAACCCTCCACTGATGGACACACATAAGTTGTTTTCACGTCTTGACTATTGTGAATCATGCTACAGGTAACACTGGAGCTCAGGCCGGACGTGGTGGCTCATGCTTATAAGCCTAGTGCTGGGGAGGCCAAGGCAGGTGGATTGCCTGAGCTCAGAGGTTTGAGACCATCCTGAGCCAGGGTGAGACCCCATCTCTACTGAAAACAGCTGGGCGTTGTAGCAGGCACCTGTAGTCCCAGCTACTTGGGAGGCAAAGGGCAAGAGAATCACTA